CTGAGCACCTGAAATGTGGTGCCTTGTGCAGCTGGAACACTGAGATTTTAAAATTTCATTTAATATGAATTCATTTAAAATTAAGTCACCACATGTGGCTTGTGGCTACCTTATTGGGGAGCAAACATACAGTGTATAAATAGAGTAATTAATAGCAGGAAAGAGGGTTGGACACTGAGGGATAAGGGACAAGTTCCAGAAAAAGTTTGAAGCACAGGTGGTAGTGTTTAAAGGAACTCATAGTCAAATAGTTTCATTCTTTCCCATAAAATAGGTGGCATCGTTTGCTGAGAAGGTTAAGGTAGGGAGCATGGGAAAGATTTTCGGCCATCCTTGTGGAGATTTCCAGTGGAGAATCTATGATAGATGAATCACAGACTCATTGTAAGCCCTCCGGAGTTGAGAGTGTGCATTTGTTTTAGGTCTCTGCTTCCTTGTTGGTGACTTTTTTCAGTAACATTTCTAAACGTAAGAGAGAAAGGAAAAAAAGAAGGGCAGGGAGAGCAAGTTTAGTGGAGCTCTTTGAAAGGCTGGAATGCTGGTGAAGTAAATAAATGCTGATGATGAGCCCTTAACTAAGCACAAAGCAAGTAAAAATAGGAAAGGACATGGATAAAGACTCTAGAGCCACGAGGTCATGATAAGGGTGAAGATGTCAGACTATGGAAGATGAGCAAGGCCATAAAATTTTCTGTTGTAAAAACGGTAGATTTTAGAGGTAGAATTTTCAACAGGAAATGAGATAAGAAAGAAATGTTTGTCATTGGGTGAGAGGACTATATAAGACAGATGTATATATTTCCAAATTGTTGCGGAGGAATTTCAGTATCCCTTGATTTTTTTTTTCCCTCCAATTTGCTTGGAATATGGTCTTTGCTCCAGACTTGCTAACTGAACTTTGAATGCGTGGTCTTTTCTTAAATAATCCAGATTTGAGTAGTAAAGTTGGGATTTATCTTATCTATTTGCAGTGATATCCAAATTCATAAAAACTGAATTCAGAGCCAGCAGGAACCTATGAGATCATCTCATCTAATGTTTGGATTTTGTAGATAAGGAGACTGTAATCTCTTGATTCAGTGATTAGTTCAAGGTTACATAGCCAGTGAGTGATAGAGCTGAGACTAACTTCAAGTCTTCAGTGATTCCCTGCACTGGGCTATGACTTGGGCAGCATAATGCTCTGGTCTGAAGTTTTCAGTGGGTATGGAACTATTTGTACTCTGGAAACATCAAAATACAATATAGAATATTATCTTCAGAACTTTTGTATGATTAGTTTTTCTGAACCTATACTTCCAAATTACTAAAATATTAATCTGACCATACTGAAAGAAAAATCTTGCTGAAGCAGTATCTACAATATACCACAGTTTACTTATTCATAACTGTTTGACACTTAATGCTAAGAAAAAAGATAAACAGACAAGACTTTTAAATGTTAATAAAGGTAACAGAATCCGGAATTGCATTTTTGACTAGATGCAGCTGGGAAAGAGTTTGTTAATCAGCAGCTGTTTTATCACTTTTTTAAAAGTACCAAGTGTTGTATGTCTCCTGCTGGCTCTGGTCTCTTTTTCCCTCCCCCATGCCCTTGTCTTCCTAATAATGAAGAAAGATACCTAAATAGTAGGATCTAAGACAAAAAGAATACTGTTTTCAGAAAATATTAGAACATTGTAAGGTCACTAGTACTCTTCTTTTCACTTTGAATAATATATTGAGGAACATATTGAAGTAATTGGGAATAATATTTATTTATAAAATAATTGTGTCCCATGTGACAATACCAAAAATGTACTTTAACTTGTCTATTTTTACATGGACCCCAAATGTTTAAATGAAGTGATTAGACATACAAATCTGTAATTTTGATTAAAATGTAAATAAGAATTTACAAGTTCTGAGTTAGAGAATACAGGTCTTTGGTTTTTGTGACACTTTATTTAATTTAAGGGATTTCTTTATAGGATCAACAACTCTAGAACCTTTGTTTGCATTTCTTGAAAGGAAAAGCACAGTGAAATAGGATTAGCTGCTTTAATAAAGTGAACCAAAATACTGTTCAGATGATCAAAGAGTGTTAAAATACCTTCATTTTTATTTTAATTCTTTAATTCCTTTTTGTCATGGGAATTTTTGGTATTATAACATTTGGCATACATATGACATGAAATCAGCATACCCTAAGATTTTAGGGACTGACTCCTTTAATATGTTTCCTCAAGTAAATATTTCACTCTTCCTTTTCCCTGTCCTCTTCCCCCCAAGATTGGCTCTGTTTTAGGTGAATTAGGAGAAACAGGGATGAAAGTTACCTTTCCTACCCTCTAGGAGCTCAGACATACAATGGTTCTCAAAATGTGGGTCCCAGAACAGCAGCAGCAGCAGCAGCATCCTGAGGACTTACTAGAAAAGCAAATTCTCAAGCCCTACCCCAGACCTTCAGAATCAGAATTTTGGGGGATGGGACTCAGGAATCTGTTTTCAGCAGCCCTCCAGGGAATCCTCCTGCACACTCAAGTTAGGAACCACTGGTCTAACGACCGGAACTTTATACCTTCCTTATTTTTAAAATTGAGATATAAGTCACATACCAAAAAATTCACCATTTTAAAGTAGACATTTCAGTGGTTTTTAGTGTTTTCACAAGACTGTGCAAACATCACCATTATCTAATTCTATAACATTTTCACCATCCAAAAATAAACTCCATACCTATTTGTAGTCACTCCACCCCTGTCTCCACCCCTCAGCGCCCAACAACCACTAACCTACATTTTGTCTCTATGGATTTGCCTCTGCTGGATATTTCATATAAATGGAATCATAAAATATGTGGCCTTTTGTTTCTTTCACTTAACACAGTGTTTTCAAGGTTCATCCGTGTTGTAGCATGTATCAGTGCTTCATTATTTTTATGGCTGAATAATATTCTATTGGATAGATGTACACATGTTGTTTATCCACTCATCAGTTAATGGATATTTAGGTTGTTTCTACTTTTGGCAGTTATGAATAAGGCACTATGAACATTCATGTACAGGTTTTCGTATGAACATATTTTCTCTTGGGTATATACAGGTAGTTCTCATTATTTGTGGTAGTTTTGTTCATAAAGTCACTGCAAACACTGAATTAGTGAATACTGAATTACTGGTTCTCGGAGAAATACAGGATTAGGTTCTTGTAAGATTCTGGTCACGTTTTCATCGATTGATCAATATGTAACCTTGTTTTATGTGTGTTTCTTTTTAAAGACATCTTATATTTATTGCTGATTCATTAACATTGAGTGCATGCCTAACAGCGCCATAACTCATGCCTGAACAAAGCGGCTTACCTAACCAGGTATATTTTCTGTATGTGACAAGGCCTGTCACAGCCTTCTTGCGCTTAGAAAGAGTAGGCAGCACTTCAGCATTACACTTGGGGGCTATTTGAAACAGTGAAATCACCAAAAAAAGCACAAAATATGAAAAACGTGGCACCAAATCAACCGGAAAAGGGAGACTTGTTTACAGTATGAGAGCCAAACACGAGAGGGTAGTCTTGTTTGGGTGACTCACATTTTTTACCGCTCTGCCAATTCACACGTCTGAATGACTGTGAAAGCACCATGAGGATTATTTGGGGGTTACAAATAATTTATAGTGAATAATCATATTTGCAAATATAGAATCCACAAATAATGAGGATCAACTGTACTGGGAGTGGAATTGCTGGGTCATATGGTGGTTCTATGTTTAATATTTTGAGGAAGTACCAAGCTATTTTTTTTTTTTTTTGCAGAAGCTAAAGCATGTTATCTAATAAGATACCACTTATAAGTGGTTTTGATTTGTATTTCCCTAAATCACTAATGACGTTGAACATCTTTTCATGTGCATATTGGCCATTTGTATTTCTTCTTTAGAGATGTGTCTATTCAAACACTTTACCTCTTTTAAATTGGATTATTTGTCTTTTTATTGTTGAGTTGTAAGAGCTTTTAAATATATATTCTGAATACTAGACTCTTAGATATATGACTTGCAAATATTTTCTCCCATTCTGTGTTTTCATTTTCTTGATCCTGTCTTTTGATCTTCAAAAGTTTATCTTGATGAAGTCCAATTTTATCTATTTTTTCTTTGATTGCTTATGCTTTTGAAATTTTTGAAACTGCTATCCTCATATAGTTACTCAGTACATCCTGCTAAAAGAATTGCATACACATTTTTATTACCGAAGTCATGAAGAGTTAGATTTCACGGTTTCAATAAATTATAACTTACTTGCTAAGGGATGTCATTTGTAAATTTAAACCATTTGTTTGTAGTATTTAAGAGATTTTTATATTGTGGTTGTGGGATTTTAAATACTGGCATCATGAGGGCCAACATTTATAAAAAGCAGTGTCAAAGTTATTTAACAAACTGCTGTTTTTGTTTGGAAAATGGAAGAAAAATACTTAAAACTGGCTCTAACATTTTAAAAGAAGATTCGCCTCTTTTTAAAACCATGAACTTTCTGTCCTAAAAGTAGGGTCTCAAGCCATTTTGTGAAAGAACACAGGAATCCCTGGAACTTGGAAATAAATGCAGATTGGTGTTTATTTGTGTTATTTTAAATGTAGTAGCACTGTGTGTTAGAAAACTGAATCTGTAACACTTAAGTCAGGCTAAGCAAGCAAATAATATCAGCTAACATGGCTTTAATCTACTAAGTAACTTAAAATCCAAAAGATCAAAGGAAGTTATAACTAAAAACAGACCTTCATGCAATTTCCCTGTGGAAGCAGGAAAAGGCTAGAAATTACATGTCACCTTCATATCCTGGCTTGCTGACCTTGTGCTCAGATCAAGCCCCTCTGTATGCCAGCTGTTACCATTATTAAGACCTTGCCCCAAGGGGTTAAGTAGGAGAAAAACTCTCCTGTCCTATTGGAGGGCAAACACTGAAAGTTCCAGCCCCTAACATGCCTAATTCAAAGCAATCTGCATGTGCTTGTCATTCAGTCTGTCCTGCCGCTCTGTGGAGCTGCTCCTGCCAACTCATTGCTTTCTGCTGTGCTGTGATCCTGCAGTCAGTTGCCGCTGTTGCTACTGCAATCATTTGCACCAAACTGAGCCAGAGAAGTTCCCTCTTTTAACATAAAGGTAATACATTTACTCTTGCTGTGTGAATATATGTGTGAGAAATGCGTGTGAATTTGTTATTTTAGGAGAATTTATTTAAAAACTGAACTTCGTTTCTAGGATTGTATTTAAAATTCCAGCTGACTGTTTTTTTTTTTCCCAGTGTAAACTTTGAACAGCATTTGGCATTTTAACACATTAAAATCTTGTGAAGTTTATTTAAATTGTAGTCTAACACCGTAAGGTAAGGCCAGCCATTTCTTAAGTTTATTAAAATGTCATGTCTTTGTGAAGTTGGAAGGAAACCTAAGCTTTAAAGAAGTTTGTTTTATACTTTGAGATTCTTATTTAACTACTATCTAAATCAGAAAATTTTGAAAATATGTGCTTGCCATTACTAGATGATAGAAAAATAAATGTAGCATTGTAGGAATCACATTAGTCACTTTTGTGAATTAAATGTTATAATAAAATAGAAAATTATTAGCATCTTCCCTCCTGCAAAGAGAGTAGTTTGGTGAAGATACCCTCTTGTGAACTAACCTTCAACAGCAAGTAATTCTTATCAGAGTTCATTTCAGATACACAGCTTGGTAAAGGCCTTCAAACTAGGTTTTAGTTGTTTAAATGTTTCATGCATTATATGGTAACTACAATAGTGACTGTGTTATGATTGGATTTACTATTTAAAGTACAAGTCAAAATATATTCGCTATATTGACTTTTGCTTAAAATGAGAATGGATAATTTATTTGCAACTGGTAGAAAAATTCAAATTAGTTTAACGTGAAATATGTTTATGTTTGGTGTAAAATATACATTAAAAATTAAACAGAGAAATTTAGTGAAAACTGAGTATTTCTTGCACATCACTGATCATAAATGACTTCATTCAATGATAATCCAAGAAATAGAGAACATACTTTACAATTTGCTAAAAAATTTTACAAATAGGTATTCTTGTGGAACGAAAAAGAATGAAACGTGTCCTTTTTACCCACAAAATGTTATTTTAGATCATACTATTTATAATTAAGAAAACTACAGTTCCCTTTGATGGCTGGCAAATCACTAAACTATGTAAATAAGCTCTAAATTTATGAGTGTTTCACTTGCAGGTAGTGGGTTTTCTACTTCCCGTGGTTTTAATATCTGGCGACACATTTCTACTTTCTAAAATGTTAAAACTTTTTGCATTATTTCATGTTTTTTTTAGTCTTGCATCTCCAATAGATTATCTTAGATTGCTTTTATTGCCAACATATCAAATATTGGGATATTTTATTGATTTTACTTTATTTGGGACTTTTTGTTTTAGTATTAAAAAAGATATTTTTATGTATCTTCTATGCATCATATAGCTCACATCTTAGACCCCAGTTTTAGAATTGTTATCATGAACTATTTGCATTGATTATGAAAAAATGTGTAATGTTTTCAGTGTCTGAAGTGATTGACCTACAAAGTAGTTTAGAAAATACATGTTTACTTTAATTCAGTCTGGGAAATACGTATTATAAAGTGGATTCATCCAAAATTTAAATCTAATCTCACTTGCTTTGCAGTTTATATTGAACCGGTTGAGCCTTTTGGGGAAATCTGCTTTTCAGTGTTTGCTATGCATCACTTCTTTACCTTGTGTTCTAACTGCTTTGAGTTCTGGGGCTGGATCTGAGCATTCTTGCTGTATGATTCTTGTAATTCAGTGTGGATGATGGACAGCCTTGATATACAGATGATATGAACATTTTCTATTTTTGAAAAAAATGCAATTCCTGATTACATTCTAACACAAGAAGCAAAAGCGAGTTGTTTAGGATCAAGACATATGAGCTCCTTAGTCTATCAGCCTTTTGGAAAAAATATAAGACAGAGCAACTAAAATAAATTAGAAAAGCTAGACTCGGAGAAGATGGTGGCTTTTTGTTCTCTCCTTCTTGATTTCTATTCTCTTATTTTAATCACTATTAAACAGGCTTATGTATTACAGGCTCATATTTAGATTCCAAGAAAACTGTATAAGGAACCTAGCAGGTGCTTACCAAAATGATTGCTACATAAGGACATTTAACTGAAAAATATGATTTAATTACCTTTGTAAGCAAACAAGAATCCCACACAATAGTAAATGTAATTTCAGTTCATCTAATATATACAAGAAAGCAAACAGCAGAACTCCTGAGCATTTATGGTAATAATTTAAGGAATAGAGAAAGATTTATAAAAGTTGCACCCAGGCTCTTATTAAGAGTGAATTTACTGATTCAATTCAAGTAAGAATAAAGTCTTTATAAATTTGATGTTTTTCTAAGCTTGAAGCAAATCTCAGAGTTTTCTTTAATTGTGTTTTATACAAATACCTTGAGTGATGTTTCCCAAGTTGCTCAGTAGACTAAAGGATACTCATAAGACATTATTTGCTGGACTCTGCAGGGAAGAACCCATTTGGGGAGCTGCTCTAGGAAATTTGATTTGCTACTTCTCAAACTTCACAAAACAGCAGGGAGTGGGGTATTAGATACTAAACATTTGTGGGAAAAGTTTAGATTATTCTAAGTGTGGTATTAAAAAACAACACACTACCATCTAAATCAAACAACTTTTAAGTGCTTTATGGTGATTGATCTCAGTTTTTGGCTTTATGAAGGACATTTTTAAAATTCTCTCACATTCTTTTGCCTAACAATGTGTGGGAGTAAAATTTTCTTACTTTGATTTACCTCAGTGGTGTTTTTTTCCCCCTTTGGGCTGCTAAGTTTTGAGGTTTTGAGATGTGTGAAGTATTAAACATGCATGGTATCTTTTAGACATGCTTGTGATGTGTTCAACAACATTTGTTAAGCTCAGTAATATGATCCTGTTTCTACTGGGGAAGAGCTATAGTGATACAGTTAGATTGCTCAGTTGTAAAGCTGCCCATTTTGTGATTTTAGTTGAGACAAAATAGTTTCAAATGAAATCTCATGGCCTAAAGACACACCTATCACATCTTAAGGATCCTGTTTATTAACAAACCATCTTGTAATTCTTATTTGGTGGGTATGTGAGGCTAAATAACAGTCCTGGTATCTGGAGACTGTCTAACCCTAGAATTGGAAAGTTTAAGATGCTTAAAATGCCACCAGAAATCTTTTTTTTTTTTTCCTGGCATGGAACTTTAGGGAACATACTCTTTTATTAGAGGATCTTGAGCCTTCATTTTAGAGACTGACCAGACATTGAGGACATACTTTTTCTTGAGTGTTAAATAAACTCATTAGTCAAATTAGCTACTTCCCAGATTTTCTTCAAAAGATTAATAAATAATAAAGGCTTTATGGCAACTTGTTTCACATTTCCACAACATTGTTCCACATAAAGTCTGCACTGTTGTCTTGCTTGAGCTAGTATCTTATTAAGGCTTTCTCCTTGCTGCACCCTTGTCCCCACCCTTCCAGCTTAAGAAGTACTGCAGATGAAATCTCTTTTCATTGTAACAAGAGCAATAAAAAAAAGTAAAAATAGTATAAACTTAGAGTGCCAGGTCCAACTGTTTTCTAATATGCAACAATATTCTGCATTTCAAGCAGTATTTTCGGAGTGTTGAATATTTTGAGTGGCAGTTGCTTGCTCTTATAAGTTGATCAGCATTAATTATATAAAGTATAAATCAGTGGCTCTCAGCTCTGACTGCATGTTAAAATCACCCAGGATGCTTTAAAAAATGCTAATGGCCACACTTCGCTACAATATGAATTAAATCAGAACCTCAATCTCTGGGGCCAGGACCCTTTTATCATAATTTTTTTAATATTACTGCAGTGATTCTAATGTGCAGCCAGGGATGAGACTGCTGTGATAGACTTGTAATTTTATGAATATTCATATTTAATGCATACCTTAAGACTTGTAGCAGAGCCTGGTTAAATGTTTTGGCTAGTTTTAGGGTCAAATAACTGCTTATATAGGAGAACTTTGTAGAATTTTTTTAAAGTGACCATTGTTTGACATCCCTGATTATAGAAAGTTTCTCTAGTTTTATTTTGTATATTTTTGGTTATACAGTTTCACATAATTCTCCAAACTTAGGGTTCAAAAGAAATCAGTGCAGCTTAATGGAATTTAAACTCATCTGAAATAGAAGTGCAAAGCTATAAGAAGTCTCCCCTACCTCTTTCTTTCCAGCATTGATGCTTATGGGCACAGTACTTACAACTGAGTGTGGAGAGAAGTGGTGAATATTACATGGAATGATAATTTTTGTGGATGAACCTGGAAAAGAGATCTCTGAAAAGTGCTTTAATAATTGCAATATTGTGAGAGTGCTCTTGAAATATGTATTTAGGAAGATAAATGTTTATGCTAAATGGAGAATATCACTGATATCATTTATCTGAGATTGAAAGAGGTAAACTTCATTTTATACCCACATTTCTGTTCCCACATTGACCAAAGGTACATTGGATGTAAAACAAAATGACAAAAATGAAATTGATGTTTCTACAACCCTGAAATTTCTATCACTCGCCCCTATATATGAAAATTTCTGCTTTTACAGCCTAACTCATTTCTAGCAGTAATACTGCTTTCCAAATGTAGGGCTTTCAGATTTGTTATGGCAGATACACTGCAATATCATTAAGGTTATTTTACTTTCATATTTTTTGTTGTAACTCTAGGGGGAAACTTTATCTGGAAACTTTAATTTTTCTTCTGTATCATTAAGCTGTTTGTAAATACCATGAATATTGAAACAAAACATTTACAGTTTATCCATATATCTTAGTGCCTCTATCAATATATATCATGTATGTAATTATATTAATAGAGGTTATCTAAAACCGTTAGGTATATTTCATTTTCAAAGGTGGTGCTTATCATCAGAAGTTGAAACTACCCATAAATTGAATATTAAGAACAGTATGTTCTCATTGTAAAAGAATGCTAACCTTCATTTTCATATTTCCTGGAACTCAGTTGGCTTTCTCCTAGTGTGGCAGAAAGCTAACCAATACCTAGTAGGCTCTTATGAAATATATATT